TCTAGTCACTGTCAATAAAAATGCCAATTTTGTAAAATAGTAAAATGTTTTGCCACATTTTGCTACATTCACATACTAGCCTCCCAATGCTTGCCTGTGGAAAACTACTGGATTGGCAGAAACCATCAATCTCAATCACAGCCAGAGAGGCGGAGCTTAAGGGAGGAGATTGGTGTGGAATGGGAAAAAAGTGAGTTAATTACTGTGACGAGACCAATCTCGCCACATTGCATTGGAGAAGCCTGGTTGCTCGCCTGCTGCCTTTGGACTATGGCCCCCTGTTAAAAGACATCTTTTTTACCTGCAGAAAAGCTTCATTCGTGCTTTTCTGCCTGGGGTTCGGTAGATTTGTTTGAATGTGTTATACCCCAGATAGGAATCCCATGGAGCCCATTCGTATGAAACTGACTGTAAAGACTTTGGCTCCATGGCGATTAAACTGTATTCGTGTGGTCTGAGCGCCATTCACTTAATAATGTGCGCTCAGACCTGAGCTATCTGGGGATATGTTAAATGTATAGTTTTAATGTAATGTGTCTTACCTGGTGTATTTTAACAGTAATGCTTGTTTTGTGTCCCCATGTGCATAATGGAGTCTTGTCTCTGACATGTCTGTGTTTTATGTATAAAATGGGACTTTGTGTATTGTACAGTATTTTAATGCTTTGTGCTAACCATGTGCATAATGGAGTCTTGTCTGTGTCCTGGGAGATAATTTAATTACTTCTCAATTATCTCCTGGGCACAGGAGAGGAAGCCAGGATGCATTGTGGTAGAAAGTATGGGTAATTGGGTTACCTCTCAGGATAAGGGGTAGGGAATCTGTGGGTTGTAACTAATATGTTACTGGATATTTTATACCTCCTTGTGGGCGGTCCTGTATTTGCAAGACTGTAATAAAAACCAGGCTGGGTGTGCCAGCACCTCAGACCACTGCTTGACCCTCAACACAGAGCCTTGTCTCGTTCTTGGGGGGATTCACTGTATGCTGTTAGAGACTGATTGCCAGGAGTGTAAGCTGATTGTCTGCTTTTCCTGTTCGTCAGCTAGCAGCTATTTGGGAGTTGGAGTGCTATTTTGTATCCAGTTCGGGAGTTTGGTGTTCTGCAGTAGCTGTGCCTGTATCTCTGGAAAGGGGGCCGATCGTCTAAACGGTTTTTACCCCTTGTGTGCAAAACGGTCCGTTACAATTACCTTTTTTTAATCCTGGCAGCGCAGCTCCAGTCCCCTAAACGGTGACTAGGGCACTCTAGTGTTAGTAATACATATTTGTATTTGCAATGCTATAGTGTTCCTTTAAGGAGCTGATTTTTTTAATATTATTTTTTATTTTGTTTCTTCTATTTTTTTTGGTCTTTTTTTCTGTGACTGCACTCTCGAAGTCTTCATTTTATAGATATACTCATCATGGGTTTGTCAATAATTATTTCATTTTACTGTCATTATTTGTGCAGGAGTCATTTTTGGTAGTTTTAAAACCTATTAACCACTAGAGGACCAATGTCAGACTAATTCAATCATAGCAATCATTATTAAGAGATTCTGTATAGCGTAATAAGCACTGCATTCCACGCTTCCACAGAGCAGCCAGATTATGATGATGGCATACAATGTCATTGAACCTTAAAATGGTTAAATCCATCCGCATTTAATTACATGCATAGTATCCTCTATAATCAAATAACAGTGATCTAATGTGTTCCGATTAATAAAACATTAACTGTGTTCTGCCAGAAGACTGAACGTCTATTGTCCTATTAGTTATAATAGTTTTGCAGACGTTCCAAAAACAGCATATAAATTCTGGTGAAAATAAGTCCCATCTTGATTGCATTAATATATTTTATATAAATATTTCTGTACCTTGCCGTTTAAAGAACAAACTGTGATATTAACAGGTTAGTACAATATTGTGTTTTCTATCAACTGTTACACTGTATTATAAAGGATATAAAATAGGGAGATAATAATGTGAAGATGGCCTAAATCTAATACGCTTACAACATAGGACATATTGGCATGATTGCCAATTAAAAAACAAACAAAAAAAACACAAACAAAAATAAAAAAGAGATTCCTTACAAATACCACTAGATATAGTATATCTGTAATTTATGAATAAAAAAATGTAAATAAAAATTCTGTACATTTCTATCACTACAATATTTTTAATAGAATTCTTTTTTTAAAAATTATTTTTACAATTATTTATTTTTGTAGTGCAGGAAAAGGTTTACATCAATAGGCTTACAAATTGGTGGTACCGCACACTAGGGATGTGCATGGACAAAAATTTGGTTCGGTTCGGAAATTCAGATAAGTAAAACAATTTGTCTGCTTTGGCAATTCTGACCAATGGCATTTGGTTCAGTTCGGCACTTCGGAACTGCCGAATGGCATTCAGTTCGGACATTCAACATTCGGGCACATGGCATTCAGGCATTTGTTTCGTGCATTTGGCAGTTCAGCATGTCATTTGTTTCAGGCATTCGGCAGTTCAGAATGTTGTTCGTTTTGAAAAATAAACATTTGTGGTTTTTTTTCTCAAACAGCAATGTTTTACATTGCATAGTGAACCACAGCAGCACCCAGACCACTTAATTTTAAAGAAGTGGCCTGGGTTTAGTTAATAATTAGTAGTGTTAGTTTAGTATATATACAATTTACAAAATTATACTTTCACTGCACAGATAGTGAAGCCAATTAGGGAGCACTACCAGCATGCAATACTTCTGCACACTATATAATCCCACCGCTGTGAAACCATATTTGTGGAGGGTTTAGGAGCAGAGAGTGAGCAGAGTGTGAGAGCAGAGAGTGAGCAGCGTGTGAGAGCAGAGTGTGAGAGCAGAGAGAAAGCAATTTGTGTGTGAACAAGCAAGTGAGAATGTGTTAGAAAGAGAGAGCAAAGTGAGAGCAAGTGATGGCTGGTAGGGAGAGCAGTGTAGGGTCCCCCAGGGAGAGTTGTGGGGTGGTGGTAGTTGTGGGAGATTTGTCCAGGGAGAGTGGTGGGAGGGGCAGATAGATGGCACTAGCAGCTCCTGCTGTTTCATTTTCCTCCGCGTCAGGTGAGTTGAAGAGGAGGCAAGTGTACCACTACCTGTGCTCTGCCTCTTAACACTAGTACTGATGGAGGAGCTAGTAGTGATACTACCAGCAGTTTCCTCAGTCACTTTGCTTGAGGGGAGAATGTGAGGAGGTCGTGGACGATCAATTATGGTTTCTTTTATTTTATTACATTTTTATTTAAATTAAATCACAGAACACTAAAAAACACCAAATGAATCACTGTAGCAAAGTCACAGTGCAGCAGAGAGACACCCTGGCAATCAGGCTACCTGGCAACAGCTAAAAAACACAAAATTATTCACTGCAGTAAAGTCACAGTGCCGCCAGGACCGGCCTTAGGGGTGTGCAATCTGTGCGGCCGCAGCTCGCACTCAGTCACTCACAGGCCAGCCCGAGTCATGTGCAGAGCAAGTCAAGTGCATTGTGCTGTGCACTTGACTTGCAAATTATGAAGAGAGCAGCGGCTGGGAGAAAGAGGAGGTCAGGAGCACGGAGGAAGAGCATGCTCCACCTCCACAGTCATTCGCGGTAGGATCCGCACAGTGAGTGTGAGGGAGGAGGTCAGTGCTTTGGTATCAAGGTCGGCAGACTGGGACACTGTCAGGAGGGTCCAGGGAGCAGCAAGCTTTAATGTGAGTCTGCTTATTCTTGTTTTAACTATTGCTTTTTTTTTATTAAATAGATTGTTGTTTTTGTGTGTGGGGGGTTTGCAGAAGGGGGAGCAAAGGTTTTCTAGCTGGGATTTTGGGGAAGGGGTTTTGTAGAAGGGGGAGGGGTTTTGGTTTAGGGAGGAGTAGGGGTTTTGTAAAAAAAAAAAGGGGATAGGGGTTTTGGTGTAGAGGAGAGGTTTTGAGGGGGCAGGCGTTTATGGTGAAGTGGCAGGGGAAAGGATTTTGTGGAGGGGGCATGGGTTTTGTTGAAGGGGGAGCAGGAGGTTTGTAAAGGGGGCAGGAGTTTAGTATAAGGGGAGCAGGGGTTTCGTATAAGAGGGGCAGGAGTTTAGTATAAGGGGGCAGGGGTTTAGTAAAAGGGGGGCAGGGGTTTAGTATAAGGGGCAGGGGTTTAGTATAAGGGGAGAAGGGGTTTTGTATAAGGGGAGCAGGGGTTTTGTCGAAGGGGAGCAGGGTTTTATGTAGAAGAGGAGCAGAGGTTTATGTAGAATGAGTGCAGGGCTTTTGTAGAGGGTGGCAGTGGTTTTGGTGGAGGGGGAAGGTTTTAAGTGATATTATGTGTACATTGCTGTATAGTTGATATATATATATATAATGATAGCATGTGTTTTGTTAAAGGTGGAGAAAAAACTTTGTAGAAGGGTGGGCAGGGGTTTTATAAAAGGGGAAGCAGGGGTTTTGTAGAAGGGGCAGGGGTTTTGTAAAAAGGGGGGCAGGGTTTTTGTAGAAAGGGGGGCGGGGGTTTTGTGGAAGGGTTTTGTAGTTGGCGGAACAGGGCTATTGTAGAAGGGGCAGGGGTTTTGTTGAAGGGGGGGGCGCCATATGTTGGGCTCGCACAGGGCCTCTGATCACCTAAGGCCGGCCCTGAGCAGAAAGACAACCTTGGCAATGAGACTACATAGCTCGCACAGCCACACAGGAATTTGTTCGTTGACTGTGGTCTTCCATGGTGTCCAGCTTAGTTTTAAACGCAATGTTAGCAAATTAAATTTTGCATATGCTTTCCCTCATACTTTTTACTTCTTGGTGTAAGTCCAGTCATCCTCTGAGTCATCTTCTGAGGCCTGAACTCATGTTTTCACTGCATGTATCTCAATCTGAGCCAGGTTTACATGAGCATCGAACATTTGCATCATCTCTTGTATCAGGTGTCGAATATCATTTTTGCGGCCAGTGCTAAGTCATCCTAAGTCATGAGGAGACTAAGGCTGGTGGAATTGCCCTTGCCCCTCCGGGCTTAGCTCTGAGCTGGTGTCTTGGTCAAGCTTGGTCGCCATTTTGTTGCTCACAGGACACTGCAGCAGGACCCCAATATCCTGGGTATCTTTGAACTCGCTTGAGATTTTTGGGATCTTCTCCCCATAATGGTGCTGGCTCTGTTGCGACTCCCACGGGGTCGGTTGGTAGGTGCTGCGTGACAGTCTGGGAGTGGTGTGCGGCATCCGACTCAATGCTGCTGCTCAGTAGTTGGTTGGGCCAAGCACGCAAGATCTGGAAGTAACTGTGAGGCCCCCACTGGTGGGAGAGTGAGGTAGGCCCGAGTTTTGTAGGTGGTTTTCTGCCCTCCTGGCAAATAAGGGCATTATCGGGTATCCCTCGGTTCCAGGTTAGTAGGGTAATCAATCTCCCAATTTGCCAGCTCACTGGGACTCTCAATGACTGCAGATTAATCGCCATCTCGGAGAGCACTGGAGAGTGACGTACATTTGGCTCAGTGGTTAAACTCCGCCCTCTCTTTAATAGAATTCTAAACATCAAATGGCTGTTTTGTTCTGATTTATATTTTTTTGTTTTTAATCTCAAATTAATAATTTTATATGGTGGACTACAATAGTTTCAGTATAAAAAACAGCATCAATTTGCACATAAATGTTCAATTTGAACTTTTTAATCAAATATTCTCACGATTTAGACCTCACAGCAGAATATTGTATGCTGTCAGCCTTCTTCAAATGAGCCAGTTTTAGTCACCTTATCTCAAGACTAATCCCTTCTGTCTTCTTTATTTGCCAACTACTACATTATCAAGATAATAGCCTCTAGGTTCGACCTTTCCAGTTACAAAGTAGATTATCAATCTGTAGGCATTTTCTGGGATAACAATCCAGCTCCCCAGTTACCAAACAAATTATAAAGCCATGGTTAACCTTTAGGTAGGACCTCAACCCAGTTACAAAACAGGACATGCCGAAGATAAGATTTAAACATCTGACAGACAAAGAAACAAAAGTGGTCATATTATGTTTGATTTGATATTACTTTCACAAATTATTTTGTGATATGTTGCATAGTGTGTCATTTTTTTGACACATGGAACATCATTAAACATCCACATGTCAATCATATTAAAGAGTTTAGGGGAGTACATTGGCAGTATTTCAATCTGTAGTGAGATCAGAAAGTATATTCAAGCCTCTGCAAAGCTGTTTTTCAGAAGTTCTAATTTAGAACCTGGCACCAATGAATATTCAGAGATTTGCATTCTATTTTACCATAAAGCACTAAAATAAACTATTGCGAGATCAGGTTTTTGCCACATGGGAATTAAAAATGTTCACAGTAAACCATCTTCAGACATGCCTCTGTGTCTTCATTGCCTACAATGATAGGTTCTTGAGATGTTTACTCATCTTTCTGAACCTTCTGTATTTTGTAATATGGGAGGTCTACGCTGCTGTTTATTAAGTGGTTTGAAGAGCCCAACTTTAAATGCCTCTTATTGTAATCTCCTGAAGTGCTTTATGTGTGAAGAGTGTGTCTTCTTTTTCCTTTTTCAAAAGTGTAAAGTTCAATAGAAATTAGCACTTTTATAATTGAAACTCCCTAGCTGTCAGTAAGACAACCAGTCCTGTTACCACCTGGTTTGGTTAGCTAAACTCAAGAGGCAGCAACTGCCCGGAGCACCTGCCTTGCAAAGACTTCTCATTGAGCGGCATTGGGAAGTCTGTGATTGGAGAGCCACATAGAGTCTGGGTGGGGTTAGAAGAGGAGGACTTGTAAAGATTACTGATTAGGAACCTGCAGCTGTTGCAAGCTGTTTTTAGATATAATCCCAATGAAACAAACTCATAATTAAATGCATGCATGTTTGCATTCTGGTATATCTATTAAACAGTGATTTTTATTTTCCTGGTATTTGGGCAGTGGAGTGTTCCTTTTAAAGGCTACTGATGGTCCAGCCTTCCGACTTTATCAATATCCTTGAACTATAAACCATTGCTGATCTTGGAGGGTTGGTTTGAAGCTATGGTCTTGCAGATTTATGGGGGATCTTCCGTTTCCCAGTCTACCCCTATGAATTTCCAAAAACACATTTGAATACAGTTCGCAAGAAATAAAATAATCTCTTAAAAAATCCTTCTCTTCCCCTTCTCATTTTTAAAGTTATTTATGACCTTCGCTCGCGCACATAGCTCGTTTTTTAACTGTCATAAACAATTTCCTCTGGCTATTCAGCATAAAGCTGATGAATTTAACTCAGAGTGATAGGTCTGTAAAAAGCTAAGATGTTTTGGCAAAAAGTCCTGGGAGTTGTTTTACAATACAGTATAAATAAGCCCAAGTCAGAACAACCATTAAAAGGAGTAAGATGAAATACAATAGAGCCAACATATATTGTTAAAACTAAAGAAAACAACCTTGAAGTGCTTTTATTTATTTATTTTATTTTAAATGCAGTGCCAGATTATCTTGGTGAATTATCTCTACTTTTAGTTCTGCCAAAACACAAGAACAGAAAGCATTCTTTTATTTTTTCCAAATAGTGAATTCTTTGCAGTAAGATCTTTCCTTTTGCTGGTATGTTTTGCCACTAATTCTAAAGTTGTTTGTTACGTTAAATTTTGTATTACTCTGGAGGATGATGCTTGTTTCACAGGAACACACAAGAAAGCGTTTATTATATGTTTTCTAATAAATGGGCAACTATTATTTTCCCGAATTGTATTATTATGATTTTACTTATACCAATATTCGATGAATATGAGCTTGCAAAGGGATATGGACTGACGGACGGACAGACAGACGGACAGACAGACAGGTCTCATATGATAAAGTAACTCAGTAGCAAGTCTTGTACAGACAATCCTGAAGAACTTTTCAGTTACTGTAGTTTCCCGTTGGATAAACTCAGATATGGCTGGTGACTAGTTAACTTGCCGAGCATGGTATATCTTGTACTCCCCAAATAATCCGTGGTATTTAGCAACTGTCAATGCGGGGCTGACAATGGTAATACATCTTAATTTATAACTAGTTTTGGAATAATCCACATGAACATTCCGTTGCATTGTATATTTGTGGTCCACAATGGTTTTTGTTTTGTTTATTTGTTGCCTGATCTTTTTACTTTACGTTTCTGTTTTCTGTTTTTATTGCATACTGGCCAGGTTGGCCCAGTGTATTGGAAAAAAGATCACATATTCAGTAGTGATAAAGGGTGCCGTATGCAGCACACTGCTAGAGCTCTCTGTAATGGCTATGAATCCAGGATTACCCTGGGCCCGTTCCCCAATATTGGGGCAAACCATTCGGTAATAGTATCCACTCTTACCTGTGTCCTGCCAGGCTCCGGATCTTCTTTATAAGCAGATTTGCGACAGACATATGCTGATCCTGCAACTTATAGATTGACTGATAACGTCAGCTGATCACTCGCAGCCAATCAATGAGCTTCTGCGCATTGAAATTTTTACAGAATTAGCCCACCACGACTCTTGTCCCAGGCTGGTTAATGACACTCTCAGACATAGCTGGACATGGATTTACACCTCCAGCAGCAGAGGGGTTAATTTCCATGTGTGCAGCGTTTCATAGCGAAATATTGCACATACAGACTCCAGCCACCATGACCACTTCAAATCACTGAAGCTTTCAAGGTGCTTGGCGTAACCCTATTAAAGACTTGTACTTGTCTTTATGAGAAAGTGGTTATGGTGGGATAGGACCCATATTAAGGCTGTCCTACAATAAAAATTCTAACATTCTAGCATCTGTGGTGCATTTTAATTCACGTAACTCTAATAGTAGCAAAGTGAAACATTCAATGTTACCATGTTACCTGGCTACTATTGTTGATGAAAAAAAAAGAATAAAAAAAAAAAAGAAAATCATCCCTTTCTTTAAGAGTAGATTTTAAGGGACAGAGTTCCAGCTGCAACTTGTCAAATGGTAGGTTGGATTTCTGGCAAGGTCAAATGAGCTTTTTGTCTACCGAGGTCAATAAAACAAGTTCCATTAAGTTGGGTGATAACATCTAGGCCCCAGGAAGTACTTGCAAACCAACTGAAAGTAAATGTTACCCTTCATAGTTAAATACAATGATACTATTATAAATAATACGAAGCCAAGAATGTTTTCCTTTTCACGCTGAGTCACATACTGTATGTTTTATATTCACTTGTAAAACGTTTTTCGATTTAGCAAATCACACTCAATGCATCACCTAAACAAGAGAAGTGTGCCATTTACAGCTGACTTTCTTAGTCTTTGCACCTACCCCGAATAAAAATGGCAGGGGCGCGTAGGAAATCATAGTCTGTCAAGAAGAATTTGAAAGTCTATACATAAACAGAAGTTTTTCTTTAGCCTTCTTACAGATGCCTTTTCTACATTTGCTCCTCTCTCTCTGTGCAGACTTTACATACAAATGGTGTTGATATAATCCCCGAATGGAAAGGGAACCATATGGGGGTTGCATTCTCACCAGGAATCTTAATAAGCAGTGCACGTTGCTGACAGTTTAATAATGTGACAAAGTTCAGTTCATACAATGTCCCAAGCACATCAGCCTAACGTGGAGCTTTCAAACGGTGGAGAAGTCAAATATAAACGTGAGACAGATCATTATTACTGTAGTTCCACAATTGGGTTCAGTGAAGAGGCCACATGCCACCATTAAGATGTTAAATCAAGTGGCACAACCAGTAAAACTTTTTAGGGAGAACATTCATCTCTATTATTTTTTCTAACCTTTCTTTATACCGTTTTAAACTGCATTACGAAGGTTTTTTTTTAGGTTTTCGTTGCGGCATTAAATCACACGTAGGCACATCAATGATGATGGTAAATCATACATTTGATCAGAAATTCGATGCAGCTGTCATTTCTTGTTTTGGAAGAATAAGGAGTGCTCTTGTGTAACATACAGAGCTGAAAATCAGGAGAAGGAAAGCGAAGCATATCAGCCATTCCATGTGGCCTTGCTGTGGACATATAGAAGGTGCCTTATATAAGTATTCACTCCCTTGGATATTTATCTATGTTATGTTACAACGTGGAAGTAAAAGGATCTTATTGTGATTTTTCTCCCCCATTTTGCTGTACACAGAAATTAGAAATAGACATTTGATGCTTGTATATGTTTGTAGCCCATTGCTATAAAACCACAAATGTAGCTCTAGAGCAACTAACTACCTTAACAGGTCAACATAATTAGGAGGAATAGACCACCTGTGTTCAATTAAAGATGAGTTCAAAGTAAATATAGTACACCTGTTTCAAGAAGGCATCATAGTTTGGTACAGAGGATATCTAAACATACCAAGGAGCAACAGGAAGACCATGAAGATATCAATTCCTACGATAAGCTCTTAAAGCAATAGAGTGTTTTACAGAGGGATGCATTGTGCTTGGGATTGGCCTCAATGTTGCCCTTGAACCTAAAATGGGCACATCAT